AGTGTAGTTCCTCGGTGTCTAAGATAGCCGATGTGCCTCGAATAGGCCAAGAGTCAATACTATCGTCAGCTTCGTGAAGGCGAGAGGAGTGCTTGATTGCCGTAGAGGCATTCTTTTCATTTTCAAATCCAGCTCCATATACGCTTTCTTTGAGCATTGAACTCAGGAGACGGTGGCCGCGAGAAGCAAGGTCACTATCTGAGCTCACTTGATCGAGAAGTGTCAGGGCCTTCTCGACAAGATCGAGGTGAGAAATATATTCCGGTTCGGAGGGAGAACGGTGCATGATGTCGAGGCATAATGTCACTCCTGCACCCGTGAGATGGGCGTGAATTGTCCAGACGTGCGGTCGATCAGGAATCGAGAACGCAGCTGCAGTTTCTGCTATGATGTTCTTGGAAGCTGTGATTGATGCCCATCGTCTAGGGGGAAGAATCCCCTCTTAGAACCCTCTCTTCCGCCTATAGTAGGCCTTTATTAATACTATTCGAATTCTCACAGTATAAAGTATAGGGAGTAAGGTAATTTAGAGTATATCTAGGTTCCTTATTGTGCTATCGCTATATAGGCAACTATTAGTATAGATACTCTATAGGACTAACCGAGAATTCTAACGTATACTAGTAAGACTAACGATAATACTACGATACTATAATAATAAGCAACAACTATACCTCGAAATACGTAAATCCGAATTTAGCGGGTACTATTATACCTTACCGCGTCTAGAAGACAATATATTAATAATAATTATATATAATACCGACGGTTTTAACTTATAATATATAAAATCCGAAAACTTAAGTTTAGCTAAGCGAGTTCCTAGGGTATAGGGAATAGCCTAACGTCCCCTATTCTTAGAGACTATAGGCCCGGTTTGCTATATATGTCTAGGTACTAGGAGGGGCGAGGCAATAACCTAAGTACCTCCCTTAGACCCTTTCGTAGTATTTAACGTAGCTAATACTAATTACAAGTAGTATAATATCCGCTCGTAGTACGATAGTATCGAGCTAGTTAGAATATAGAACCTTATTACGCGGTTCGAACTAGGTACTTTTAACTAAAATATATCTAGAGACCGCCTAGATATCTAAATAACGTATACCGCTTTCCGATTGGAAAGGCAGCGTTAGATTCGTCTTAGATTCGAGATACGTTCTCGACCTATACGAAAGTTTTGTGTTAGATAGAATAAGATTGCGCGGTTCTAACGATATACTTTTTATTAGGTTATATTAAGAGACCGCCGAGAAATTTAATTAAACGTGTTTTACTTTCTAGATAGAAAGCGGCGTTAGATTCGCGCTAGATTCGAGGTACGTCTTCGATCTATATATTAATTTTATTTAGGACTAAGTTGTCTAGTAGTAACGGTATAGTAGTTTCTGTTAATATTATCTTAGTATCTACTAATATATATAAACAAATAATACTTTATCTACCCGTTAGGAAGATAAGGGTAAATTTTAGTAATAGAAGACTACTTAATAGGATGTCCTAGAATTGTTTTAATTTTATAGCCTAATTTACTCTCTTATTAAGCTTATAGTACTACGACGGGCCTAGACGATAGTTTTAGTATAATATTAGAAAAGAATAGGAGAATATTTAAAGAAATATTTAAACTACCTAATACTCTAAATTATACTACTACTTATAAACATCGTCTAAACTAGGGCGCTAGACGAGACTAATACCGTTTATAACGTAGGCTAAAACAAATTCTATCTATACTATAGCTATCTAGGAAGGAGCTTTCCGATTTAGGCGGAGGCTATAAGTACTACGAGGCTACTACTCCTCTATTCGCCTAGTAGTTAACCGGCGTCTACTAGTTAATTTAAACGTTACCGCTAGTGCCTTTTACTAACCTAGACTTCTACTTTAGCTTTAGGCTAACGCGCGTACTAGTAATCTTAACTAGCTTAAAGCTTTCTTTTATATATTAAAGGTCGATACCGCCGATATAAAAGATAGCTAGTAAGAGCTAATTAGAGTTAAGATTAGGACTGTTATCGGCTTTACGAAGGTCGCCGACAAGAATTAGGTCTAGCGTTTAAGTAATGCTAACTGGGTTATATTCTGCTTTATCGACCCTATAAATACTATACTACGATAGATTACGGTTAATAATTACTTCCGTTAGTACTACGGAATTGCCCTTACTAGTAGGTACCTAGATCGTCTAGTACTTAACGTCGGTACGTGCGCTAATTACTAATATCTGCCTATAAAGTTATATATAGTCCGTCCTAGCTAGCCTTGTCGACGCCTACTTAGTAGCAACTAGACTTCTAAGATACTTAAATTCGTAGCTAGATTTTTAAATCTTAACGCTATATCTGTTACTAGAACTCCCGGTACTAGACTTAGGAATAGTATATAACTCTTCCGTCTTACTAATCCTAATAGTAATCCTTAGTTAACTTCTATAAGGCTATTTAGCTTCTCGGTAGGTCCTAGTATAATTATAGTATCCGACTATATCCTAGATACTCTTTACGTAAGCTATAGTTCGAATTCGAAACCTATTACGCCGTAGAAGGGCTCCTAGAACTTATAGGGCGTTAAGTTTACTAGACCTAGAAAATCTAATAGGTAGTCGTTTCTAATTATTAACCGTAAAGGCAATCGAGGCAATACGCTATATAGGGACCTAGGTAATCTTAAAACTTGATTAATAGAGTTAAAAAGTATATAAAGTTATATAGTATTAGTATAGGCTAGCGTATTAAGCCTACGTAGGAAATCTTACTAGAGACCCTTACTACTATATAGAATCGCGACTTTAGTAACCGCTCGCTACGTCATATAATACTAATATCTTCGCGATAGCGGCCTAGGAGAGTATAGGTATTAGGTTCCTCATTGTATTTATTCCGGAAGCCGATAAGTAGTTATACGCTCGTATTAAATAATTTAGTAATATTAAATTTAGTATATATACTATCTACTCTCTAGGATCGAAGCTTTAGAAGCCTATTAGATAGGGCATATATATTAGTAATCTAGTACTTAAGTTTAACGTAAAGGGTAGTAGCGTAGCGTACTATATACTAAATGCCTTTAGTAGTAAACTGCTTAATAACGAGATAATACTACTATTTAGTATTAATATTACCTACCCGTCGCTAGGCTCCTCGAAGGTACGCTATTAATAGCTACGCTTATTACTAGCGTTAATAAGTATGTACTCTAATAGCTAGGCTCGATCTGTATATAGGATAGCCGCTAAGAAATGGCTAATAGGCTCGAAGAAACGGTAATTAAGCGTCTAAATTTGTAGTATAAGAAGAATAGCTCTCTACTAAACAAAGTTATTATTTACCGGAATAGCGTCTCGGAAGGCTAGTATAAACTAGTCCTATAGATAGAACTACCGTCTTTCGAAAAGGCCTTTACGAAGCTCTGCGGTAGTAAGGAGAAGTGGCCGAAGATGACTATTATTATCGTTAGTAAGCGTTGTTATACTCGATTCTGCCCGACTCGTAAGTAAGCTCTTTAGTTTTGTATTCGTAGAGATAATATACTTAGTAATAACTATAGCCTTGTGTGCCCTTTTGGTGTAGGAGTACTAGCTCTAGGCCTACGGCGTTATTCGCCTTAGCTTTAGTTAACTACGGTATAATTACAACGGGGACGAAAACTGTATATTATATCTACTAAGAAGTATAACGGGATACTATAAAAAATAGGGAAGCTAGGTAGCGGTACCTAAAGTAGTATAGAACTCGTACGAGTCGAGACTAGACCCCGTAGTAGTTTGGGTTAGTTTAGTTTAGTTTAGTTTGCTAAGCTAAAGATCTAGTTTAGTTTAGGTTAGTTTGCTAAGCAACTGTAGGAGTAGCTAGTTCGAACTATAGAATTTATCGGTTTCTAAGAAGTGTAAGAATGTATACGTAACTCGAAGCAAGCCCTTTATAAGACACGAGAGTATAGCCGGCAGCGTAGCCGGCATTTTTTAGTTATAGGAAGGTACTCACACAACCCCAAATCTACAGATAATTAGCTAAGGGCACTAACTAATTAAGAGCATATATATATACAAGCTATTATAGGTTAGTTTAGAAACTACACTTATTAGGTATAAATTTTATCCTTTCGCTCGCTATTTGATTCCCTAACTACTCGGTAGAATATTATTATCTATATCTAGGTAGAACTTATCGATTTCCCTAGAAGCCCTCTTTAAGAAGTTCTAACACTTTCCTACTAAACTATTCTCTAATATTAAGTAATAGGATAGCTCTTCCCTCGGTATCGGTATAGTATATAAAAGAGCTATAAAATAGCTCTATACTACGTTCTACTAGTTACTCGCTATACTAAGGCCGAATGCTAGTTCGTTCCTTAGAACTCTTAGTTATTTAGTAGATATAAAGGGTAGGGTAGGTAGTAACTTCGTATTATATAAGGATATAGAGGCTGCTATAGAGGAGTCCTTTAACCTATAGAAGATAGTAAAAGATATAGAGGCAGCTATAGGTCTAGGTATCTAGTTAAATTTCTAGTAGGTAGAGTATAAGGATATTTAGAGTAAGTATTAGGTAGAGTTGCGAAGGCAGGTATATAATATAGTCTAGAAAACAGGGATAATGCCTATAACTATAAGTATTAGGCTCTTTAACCTTCCTTCTTTTTCCCTATTTTCTTTTTATAAAAATATAAACTAATACAAATTAACTAAAATATCTATCTTCTTCTAGTTCTTTAAAAGACCTAGTAGCGTAGCTATTAGCGTAGCCGGTAGCGTAGCCGGCGTTTTTACTCCTTAGTACTAACGGGATTTTTAACGACTTCTATTCCGTACGGCTAATAAAGTATACTATACTATATATATATTATATATATAGGGAGTATTTAGAGCGCGGTATATAGCGCCGTATAATAGCGGCTTATTTCGTATATAGAAAACGCTTATAGATAACACTAAGAACATCCTTCCTACTATAATATCTATCCTATATAGTAGTACTATTTCGAATATAGACATTCTAGCCTTTTAGAATCTAATCGAGGGCTTTAAAATCTTATCTATAATCGTAATACGCTTCGCGTAGATAGCTGTAAGGACAATAGCTAAAATAGTATTAGTATAGTTCGAAAAGAGGTAGAAGAGAAATATATATTCGTAGATACAAATAAGGTAGGCTTCTAAAGCCTCTTAAAGGGTATCTATTATAGAGGCTTAGAAGCGAAGGTCCTATATAATATACTAGGCAATTTTACGAATAAGTCGTTTGAAAGGAGCTTTACGCATTAGGAGTTTAGTATCCTTCTAATATATCCCAATCTTACGATGGACTTCGCTTAAAGAAGACTTCATTAAAGTATAGTAAGAATGCCGGCTACGCTACCGGCTATAGATAGGACTTACTTCCTAGGC